ATTAATTAAAGTAATCGAATATCTTTTATGCACTCTTCGTACAAATTAATTATTATTTTCAATAATAAGTAAAATTTGGTCAATGAAAAAGAATGATTTCATCTTCAAATAATTTTTTCTTTTAATATATAACTATTATTCAAGTATTAAATACTTAAGCATTAGGCAATCGTTACATTTAGTAATAAAAATGTAGAGAGTTTCATTTGTTTATTTTTTTCTAATTCATTAAACGCAATAATTAAAGTAAAATTTCATTAGTCACGCAATATATCCTTTTTTTCTTCTTTAATAAAAATGTACTAAATTTGCCTTTAGAGAATCTGATCAGTTCAACCATAGTTGTCAGATTTCGAAACATTTATCTTTAATTAGTATCGATTATCTTGTAATTGGTTTGCATCCACAGCATGACGAATGAATTTAGGTATGATGCTATTAGGACGTGTAATATGAAATGGCTTTCTAATCATTCGCAAATTGATCGCTCAAGAGGTTACTCGGATGTTGAAAAGTTCGAAGTTATTTTGTGTTAATTTAAAATTCGTGAAATTCTTAATAAATTACTATTGAATAATTTCAGAATAATCTTTGGTTAAATTTCAGAAAAGATTATCCTTCATCTCGTAAGAATCTGATATTTTATATTACATAACTTACTATATGCGTCGAATATATTTATAGATGTTGCGTTAAAAATTAATTCATCTTTTATAATTAATATTAGATTAAGTATAGCTTGTTGAATAATAAAAGTATAAAATAAGGCACTGTGAGTGGCAGTTGCTTGTTATATAATCTTGACGTGATATTGTTTCATACTTAAGTTGTTAATCAAATTTAATACAAAGTAGTTAAGTATATCAAATTAACCTGTGCATGATAGATTTTTTGCGATTCAATAGAAGTATCGATAAATGAAGGAAAAGTAATAGCAACGTGCCCTTCTGATATTAAGAAACATGCTCTCCGAACTAAATACATAAAAATGTACGCAAAATGAATAGAAAACCATGTATTAGCCCAATTTCAATGAATAAAATAACGATACACTTCATTTTAAACCTATCCAATTCGTTAAATTTAAAAAAACATATGTTACGTACTTGATGGGAGGTTAGGGCTACACGAAGGGCGCCAAAAAGTTTTCTTCGAAACATCCACAATTAATCACAGCATGCAAAATCTTGAAGTACACTCACAGATAGTATGGTCCTTCATTGAGGCACTCGTTGCACATTAATCTCACTTTTCACGACACGAGAAAACGACACTAATCACATAAACGACAGTTGCCTAATATGTACTTTGTACATACGAGCAATTTTATAATCGTAACGACCAACGGACACTCATCTTTCGAACACGCTTCGATTTTAAATGAATACGAAACTTCAATTTAAATGTTCGGTAAAAATACCACACCACGTATTTGCACTACACTTCTACGTATTGAATCTTAGACAACTAAATGTGCACTAATTGAAAAGCACTACCGAGCAAAAATACGTTAATAACGGACTGAATTTCAATCTATTCTTGCTCCTTATTCGGTACGGAGGATACCAACAATATCGACATTAGATAACAGTTTACATGAGTATGCACACATTTATTTTCACTGAAAATTTGAAATTACTTTTATTAAATTTTAAATTATTTGAATTATGGTTTTATAATTTCTTTTGTACTGCTGTGAACATAATATCATATTTTGTTATTTAAAGGTATTATTTATTAAATATTACATTTTTATTATGCACTATTACAGACGAGATATAGGATAGATTTAACATCTACCGAATTTTTGTGTTCAACATTCTGAAATACCGATCATGTAAAAAATCAAATGTTTTGTTATGCCCTCTACGATATAAAGCGGAGAGTTTAGGAATTATATACAATCCAATCATCGAAGATGGTAATGTCGACAGATGTAAAAGATTCTGCTTTGTTAAATCCTCATGTAAAGAAGTATGTATATTGGATGAAGTGAATAGAAATTTGATGATATCTCGACAGCAGTAGAACAAGCTCGTTTTTATTAC